AACTGTAAATAATACATATAGTATATATGTATGATCCTATTCTTAGAAAAAAACAGAATCAAAATACACATAAATTTGGGGGCTAGAGAAACAGCTCAGTAAAATACTTTTAGTTTCTGGTGGTTAATACTATCAACTCAACAGGCTCTAGAATCGCCTATGGGATGAGCCTTTGAGCACAGCGGTAAAGGATTATCTAGGTTTTTGTTAAGTCAGCTGTGCAGGTACACCTTAACTATGGACAGCACCATTCTATGTGCTGGGGGCCTGGGGGAATAAAAAGGGGAAAGCAAGCTGAAGAGAGTGCTGATGGAGCTCTGCTTCCTGATTGTGAACACAACTCAATCACCAGCCTCAGGCTCCTGCTGACAAGACTTTCCCCTCCACCACACCTGGCTGCACCCTTGGACTGTTACCTAAAACAAATCCTATCTCCTTCAAACTTTGTTTGTTGGGGCATTTCATCACAGCAACAGGAAGAGTAAACGAAATGGAAAACCGGAGCTGGGTATTGGGTCGCTGCTATGATAAACTGGCCCCCTCCTTGGTCCTCAGGATTTTCGGACTGGTTTGCAAGAGGAATGTGCAAGAGATTGAAACTTTAGGCTAGACAATCCCTCACATACTAAAAGCATAGCTTAGTGGCCCATTCTGGTAGAAACTCAGAAGGCAAGCGTGCTTGGAGTAGCACAGATAGTAGAGGTTCATTCAGCCCGTGAGATTTCAGAAGGGGCTGTCAAGAACTAGAGGCTTTTCTTGTTACATTCTGGCAAAGAATCTAGTGAAATTCTGTGTGTGCCCTAAGAACTTGTGTGATGATGAATTTAAAAGTCAGAAACTAATCTCTTCGACAGAGAAAATCATCAAGACAGAATATCCTCAGGAGGTGGTGTGGCTGTTGTTCGATTATTTTATTCAGATATACAGTGAGAGGGAGTGATCCAAGCTATTGGATCTCAGATGAGACTAGGGATTTAGAATTTTAAACAGAAATGGGATTTTTAAGGACTATACAGACATTTGATGTTGGACCAAATCCATTTTGCATCATGGGATATCCATGAGCCCTTGGAGCTGAGTGGAAGATGGTTCTGGCTTAAGAGTAGTGTGTTTGGGTGTCAAGTCGGCAAAGGGTAGAGGTGTGACGGTTAATATCGTCAACTTGAGAGGATCTCTAATCAACTAGGAGACAAGGTTCTGTACATGCCTGTGAGGGTTGACTGACGTGGGAAGATCCAACCGGACTGTGGGCAATACCACAGTATTGATTGATAAAACTGAAATTAAGGTTAACTCTGTGTCTGTTACTTCCATTTCTTAAGTGGTCTAGCTTAGAGAGCCCCTTTTCTCACCCTGTACAACCATCACTCCCATGGTTATAGAAATACATCACAATAGATAACTGGAAGGAGAATAATTAGGGAGAGCACAATAACAACAGCCTATTTTGCTGAGTGTATCTCAGTTTTCACGGAAATCCCTTGAATGGAACGTGTGGCTCTAGTTTACAGATTTGAGTACCAGAAATACACAGAGAGGCTCCACAGTGTGTGCATGTTGGAGGTGTGAATGACTGTTTCTGGTCCTTGCTAGTTGCCAAGTGCAGGGAAAAAGCTGAGAGACACTCAGATGTGCTGCCTATCTGGCCACCTTCAGGCTTGCCCGACCTTTAACACCGTCATCTATGAAGTTCACACGGAAGAAACATGTAATTGAGTTAAAGAACAAAAACCTCATGTTTTAAATAAGTATGTATGTATGTATGTATGTATGTATGTATGTATGTATCTATCTATCTATCTATCTATCTATCTATCTATCTATCTATATGTCTGTCTGTCTGTCTGTCTATGGTGTCGGATGCATTCATAGCCACCCTTGGCAGCAGGGTAAATATATTCTAAGATTGGGACTTTGCACAGGCTTCTTCATCTGGCCTAGAGGTGAAATGTGAAGGCACGAGACTCAGGCAGCTCCATCCTGGTTCCATCTCCACTTTCCGCTTGACAACATCTATACTTTCATGCCAGCTTTCTCATCCATAAAACTGGAGTGAGAAGATTTTTCTTGGCTGCGATGTGCGGAGTAACCGGGTGATTGTTATCCAATAGCATGACTAGGCAAGTAGAAGTAGACAGTTGATGCTAGGTCATACTAGCTCACAGCCATGCTGTTTTGTTTTGTTTTTGCTTTGTTTGCTTGTTAGTTTGGAAAACTGAACAGAAAGAGCACCGGTCGATGGTCCTAATGCTGCTGTATCTTGCCTCTGTGGTGCTCTGAGGATCAGGTGAGGATATGTGGCACTTTTCTAAATTTTAAAGATCCAGAGCACCAGAGCACTTGCTCTTTTGACAGAAATCAGATTTAAGACCATGCCAGAGGATCAGAAAAATTCTTCCCTTGTCATTTACTTTACTACAAAAACTAGGCAATAAAATTGCCTTGTTCGGGGTATAGTCTTAGGAGTTTTAGCACAAGTATGGGTTTATATAACTACCTTCATGATTGCCACACACACAACTTAAGCTTCTGAGTCCGTTTTTTGTTTTTGTTTTTTCCTCCAAAGCTTTTCACATTTATATTGCAAAACACTTTTAAAAATAAGTGAAAGGGATTTAGATAAATGTGAAGATGCAAATTAATGAAACTGTCTTTTTGCACAAATCTCTGCAGTCTCCGGGCTCTGCAGCTCCCCCCCACCCCCACCCCCCGGGCCATTTTGGCTGGTGTTGTGCGGACTATCTTTCCACAGAAAGAATCAGCCATAGATTCAGAATTAGATTGCCACAGTAGGATGCATGTTGCAGAAACAATCACCAGCATCATTAATTTGATCCCTTTTTATTATACTGTTTATATAGACCTTTTATTATACTGTTTGTCTTGTCATTTTCTGTCTATAACGAACAAGCCTGGAATAACCCACACCTTTCACACTGGGGAAAAAATTATTTCACTGGAGGAAATAAGAGTTTTTGAGAGAGCAATGACAGGGCGTTTGGAACTTCAAATCTCCCAGATTTAATGACATTGGTCCTATAAATGCATTCCAGTCCTTTCCCTAATCCATCATCCGACGCCTGCCAGCGCCCCCTGGGAAACCGACTTTGGGACAAACTTCTTTCCCAGGTCAGCCCGCCCACCTCCCGCCGCGAGCGCTCTGCGCCTAAGTGACTTGTGCTGACACAACGCATCGCATCTGGTGGAGGGAGCTTTCCGGGTGACTCACGTCTTCGCTATTTGCCTTTGTTTCTGGGGTGTTTTAGCAGCGGTCTTCTTCCCTCTGGTTTTAATTTTGAGAGGAAGGGGGAAGGAAAAAAAAAAAAACAAAAAACAAAAAAAACAAAAACCAACCACCCATAATGAATCAAGAATGAGTGTCCTTTCCACCAACCCTCCCCCCCACTTTAAAGTTGACTCTCTTTGCAAGTTTCCTAACTACCCAAGACGTGCGGGGGCGTCACAGGTAGGAAGTCATTAACTACCTACCTACCCCTCGCTCCGAAGTTGCCAGCCTGACCTAGCCACGCCGAGAGAGGGGACTTTGTAGAACCTCCCTCACCAGCCGGGCGCCTGCCGCGGCGTGTGCAGCTCGCTCGTCCCTGCTGCTGCTCGGCGTTGATGTGGGTCACGCTTCTGTTCCTCTCGTCGCAGCCGGCGGTGCCCCGAGCGCCGTGAATTCCGAGAGATCCGCCGGCGGTTCGGCTTCTGCCCGAGGTAAATACGCTATGCAAAATACGGACCCACCAAAGGATGCCGGGGAGGGGGAACAGGAGGGGGATCCCTCGCCTCCCCCGGGCGCCCTGCTCGTTTGTCCCCGCCCGGGGGAGGCACGCAGCCCAGGTTGCCCTCGTCCCCCTCCTTAAAGCTCCCGCCGTGGGCAGCCGGGTTGGGCTGCGGGTAGCCTCGGTCTCTCTCGCGGCCCCGGCCCTCCCCGCCCCCAGGCTTGGTTTTTCCCAGCCTTGGAGGCTGGACCGGAGGCTCGGGTGTGCGGAGAGCCGGCGCCCGCCGCGGGAACCGGGAAGGCGCGGGGACTCGGGTGGCCCTCGGAGTTGACTTTGGAGGCGCGGGGGTGAGCGGTGGGGGGACCCGGCGGCCGGGTCAGGAACCTGGAGGCGGGACTGGGGCTCCTCTCCCTGAGGGGTGGTGAGGGGAGCGGGGGTCCAGCCACCACCCCGCCCACCGTCCTGGGGCTGCTTTGTTGGCGGGTTCCATCCCTTTCCCTGGAGATGCCTGAACCCTGTGGGGGTCCGGAGGATGGAGGGCCACGGGCTAGGGGATTCGGGAGTGGGCGAGCAGCTGCAGGGGCTCTGCTCTCCCCCCACTCCAAGCGAAAAAGGAGCTCGGAGGAGCCGAGTAACCCGAAACTTCTCTCTCGCCCCAACTCGGGAGGGGAGGAGCGGCGGGGGCGGGGACCCCGGAAGGCAGGTGGCCCGCGGGGCGGTGGAAGCTGGAGGCGCCGGGAGGAGGGAGAAGTTTGCTCGGCCGAAGTTCGAGGCGAGAGAGGAGCGCGATCGGGGCTGGAGCGGGGCGGGAGGTGGCCCGGGTCCGGACGGCGCGGGGCCCGGAAGAGGCAGGCTTGGCGCTCGGGAGTGGGGACCGCGTCCCTCGGTGGGGGGGAAGGACGCACGCGGGAGGCTTGGGCCCGGCGGGTAACGTAGGGGCCACTTGGTCTCGTACCCGTGGCGCCTCGGCTCGGCCCGTCGCCGCTCCTCACCCTTCCCTCCCGCTCGTCCCAGGTCGCTCGTCTGATCCTGCCCCGCGAGAGGCGCCAACAAAAGAGTCAAGGAGGTGCCACCCCTGCGGCGGCGGCGGCGGGAGGAGGAGGAGGAGGAGGAGGAGGAGCGCCCGGACCTGTGTCGCAACCCGCCGTGCGTACTCGCTTGGAGGGAAAGGCGGGGAGCCTCTCCGGGAAGGGGACGCCCGGTGACCCCGGGGTGAGCCCAACTTCCAGCTTCGGCGTCTCCTCCTCCCCGGCTCCCACGCGAGGAAAGTTTGCAGCCGACGCCTGCGGCCGGGCTCGCTTCCTCCCCAACCCCACCCCCATCCCCCCGGGCCCAACCGGTCGAGTCTCGGGAGCGGGCACCGGTCCCAGCTCCGGGGGAACCGCGATGCCTGGGGCGGCTTCCCGGGGCCCCTCGGCCGGGGACGGGCGGCTGAGGTTGGCGAGGCTGGCGCTGGTGCTGCTGGGTTGGGTGTCGGCGTCGGCGCCCAGCAATTCGGTATCCTCGTCTCCCACGTCCCCGGCAGCAGCCTTCCTGGCCCCGGGGTCTGCGCAGCCTCCCCCGGCCGAGCGCTGCCCGGCGGCGTGCGAGTGCTCCGAGGCGGCGCGCACGGTCAAGTGCGTGAACCGCAACCTGCCGGAGGTGCCGGCCGACCTGCCGCCCTACGTGCGCAACCTCTTCCTCACCGGCAACCAGCTGAGCGCGCTGCCGCCCGGCGCCTTCGCCCGCCGGCCGCCGCTGGCCGAGCTGGCGACGCTCAACCTCAGCGGCAACCACCTGAAGGAGGTGTGTGCGGGCGCCTTTGAGCAGCTGCCCGGCCTGCGCCTGCTCGACCTCAGCCACAACCCCCTCACCAACCTCAGCGCCCTCGCCTTTGCGGGCGCCAACGCCAGCGTCTCGGCCCCCGGCCCCCTGATGGAGCTGCACCTGAACCACATCGTGCCCCCCGAGGATCAGCGGCAGAACGGCAGCTTCGAGGGCATGGTGGCCTTCGAGGGCATGGTGGCCGCTGCCCTGAGCTCAGGCCTTACCCTGCAAGGGCTGCGGCGCCTGGAGCTGGCCAGCAATCACTTCCTCTTCCTGCCTCGGGACTTACTGGCCCAACTGCCCAATCTAAGGCATCTGGACCTTCGGAACAACTCCCTAGTGAGCCTGACCTACGCGTCTTTCCGCAACCTGACACACCTCGAAAGCCTCCACTTGGAGGACAATGCCCTCAAGGTCCTTCACAACTCCACCTTGACTGAGTGGCAAAGCCTGGCCCACGTCAGGGTGTTCCTAGACAACAACCCCTGGGTTTGCGACTGCTACCTGGCTGACATGGTGGCTTGGCTTAAAGAGACAGAGGTGGTGCCTGATAAAGCCAGGCTCACCTGCGCATTCCCGGAAAAAATGAGGAATCGTGGCCTCTTGGACCTGAACAGCTCTGACCTGGACTGTGACGCTATCCTTCCCCCATCCCTGCAGACTTCCTATGTCTTCCTAGGTATTGTTTTAGCCCTGATAGGCGCTATTTTCCTCTTGGTGTTGTATTTGAACCGAAAAGGCATAAAAAAGTGGATGCATAACATCAGAGACGCCTGCAGGGATCACATGGAAGGGTATCATTACAGATACGAAATCAACGCGGACCCCAGACTAACAAATCTGAGTTCCAACTCGGATGTCTGAGAAACGGGACTGGTCAACAACAGTTCTGCATGAGGTGTAGACTTAAGTTTTTGTTTTGTTTTCTTTACTAGGCTTGCTGCACTTCCACCCTGCACAGAAGACACCATTGACTTTGAAAGCAGTGAAGGGATTTTGCTTCCTTGTTATGTAGAATTCCTGGTGTGTTCTGTTAATGTACAAACACGAACAACTGTGCATACAATGTTTGTTTGCCCTTTTCGTTACTCCTCGATGCCTGCGGGAGGGATTTTTTTCGTTTTCCTCTCAAGTTGCAGCCTGGACATGGATTCTTTCTTAGCTCAAGGTGTAGCACAGATAGCGTTCAACGGAAGCTGCCTCAATTTTTTTTTTTTTTTGAGAAAAGTACTTTATTCATAAATATGAGTTTCATCCTCACCTAAATTATGGAGAAAAATAATTGCATCCCCCAAATGCCTGCAGATCATAGCAAGCTCTTACATAGAACTCTGTAGTGTACAGGGGCACCTGCATCCAAGAGCATGCTTACATTTTACTGTTCTGCCTATTAAAAAAAACAATTGCAACTTCAGGTAACTTCTTTGAGAAACTAAATTACTTTTTGATTGCGGTTTATAGGAAACTGTCCTAAGGTGTTTCGGTTTTTTTTTTTGTTTGTTTGTTTTTTTTGTTTTGTTTTGTTTTGTCTTGTTTTTTTATAAGCTGCATTGGGATCCAACAGATTGGATTGTTTAAAAAAAAATCAATAAAGAGTCTTAAAAGAAGTGTGGTGTGTTCACGTTTGGTACTTTGCAAAGAAGATTAAAGGCAATGATGTTGAGTGGTCTTGGCTGTGAGTTAGCAGATCTGAGGATCACACTGGAGCAGCGGCTTGATAGTAATAGGCTGGAGAGGGTTCTGAAATGCGGATTATTTTAGGGCCTAAATAGAATAAAAATATTTATAGGGCCTGAGTATCAGAGGTCCCCCAGTTAATAGTGTTCAGGATGCGTTACTTAAAAGAGCACTGTGAGGTTGGTAATCGTGCGAAGAGTTCTTTATGAGAAGCGTGCTACAGCTGCCACTTTGTCTAGACTAATGAAGTTGTTAAGTCACTGGTAAAACGGAATGAGGGTGTCCCACGGAATTTCAGAGCCAAGTGGGAGCCATGTGTTGGTGGCAATAAATGTGAGAAAGTAAAGCATCTTAAAATATCCTGAAATAAAGTATTTTAAAACACAAATAAAAACTATTTTCAGAATTCACAAATCAGAACTCAGAGAATCTTGAGAATATTTTCTTAAATTTTCAAGGTGGAACAGTGTATTTTTTTTTTTTGAGGTGCTTTCATTTAAACTTAAAGGAATAACCAGAGATAAATATTTGTATCTAGAAACAAGGGTTATAAGTAGTTATCAGGTTCTTTTATATTCAGTATTTAAAAGTTTGAGAGTTTTTCTTTTAGAGGCTAAACTCAGAGTGCTAAATAAATGTATACACCTTTATAAGGAATAAGTCATATTTAGGTATAAATTAAAGCAATTCTTCATTAATACTCTTGTCATGCTGTATTCTCCTGTCTCGTCTCTACCCCTCCCCCATCCTCATCTGCCACTTAGAGTGAACAGTAAATTTCATTGATCTGTTTCCAGGCCACTGACTCAAGGAATGTAAGTTTAGCCATTATCCCCTAACTTCAGATAGGAGGACGCTTACCTCAGTAAGCTTCGGGACCTGTTTTCCTTTTAAGTGGTTCATGTCTACAATGCTTTACGTTTGAAATCTAAGTAAAGCAGCTCTCACCTTAAGTTATAAAGCTCTTTGCAGATTACTTCTTGCAGCTGAATTCAGGAGTTTTCAAAAATATGTGAATGTATTCATGGTTTAGAATTGGTTACATGGGCTAGTATGAACACTGGGCTTTAAGATCTTATGGTTTGTGTGGCTTACTCTGTCCAGTAGTATTCATTACTTAATGGGTAACATTTGTGATCCTATAATTACCTGAGTAAAGGCTAAATATGTGATACTGAGTGTTTCATTAAACATGTTATGTGTGTATGTGGAGTCCATAACCTGGCTGACTGGCATTATTTTCAAAGAATAATGAAGATGCTAGTCTTCCAAAACTAGTAAAAACATCCGATAAATGATAGAAATGAACTAGTGGTGACAGGTTGGTGGATGTGTAGGTACTGCACAGTATTGATAGGACCTGTCTTAGAAGGGTTATTTCTTTGCCACCCAATAATCAAGCAGTTCAAAACTGAGCATTATTGAAGATTCAGGAACTCCATAGTTTCATTGATTTTTTTCTTTTTCTTTTTCTGTCAGCAACCAAAACAGTGATGAATCTGATTAGATGAAGATGACCCTCATGCCCGCTAGGAGGTGGCTGTTTTAAGGTTGTCATTCCCCTCACCCCACTGTCCTGCTCTTCTGCATGAGCCTGCTGATGTACTTGAGCCCTGGTTTGTACTGTGATAATACATGACGTCTAGGGCAATATAGGTGTTCTACCTTTTTTGGAAGACAGGTGTTCTATAAACACCCATGAGAGTGGTAGAATATATGAAATGTAAACAACAGTGACTTTATTGAAAACAAACAATTATACTTGCTATGAATACTGCTCTTTACCGTTATACATGGTTCTCAGAAACCTACAGAACTCCATTTTAAAACTAAATTTTGCTTGCTATTATGCTTTATTGCAGAGGTGAAGTGTTCAAGTGCTCAGCAGACATCTTTATATCCTTAACAAATTTCATTTGGAGAAAGCTAGAGAAATTCATTTTTTTAAATCTTCTGATTTGAAAAGCTATTATTGAATATCTATTAAATTCCTATGTAGGACACTCACTCTTCAACATTAATTCTTATTGTCAGTTCGGCTGCCCTGAGCGCAATTCATTGGTGATCTATAAGGTTTCTCTTAGGAAACAGGGAGACTTTGAAACACATTTGATGGGTTGATTTCTTTTTCTTTTTTCTTAATTTATTTTAAGGAAGAAAAGTTCCACACTAAAAGATGAACGGGAAGGCTGGGTGGAAATACATGAGCGGCTCAAAGTGAGTAAGTTCTGACGAAATGTCATGATTGACAGTGGATGTGAATAATGCTCACTGCAGTGCTCAATTAAAATGTCACTTAACACTTGTTTCATGTTTTAAAGGTGGCTGTGACAGGAGGCTCCAGTCTTCCTTAGGCTTACCCTCTGTTCTCTTGGGCCTGGGGTTCTAGTGCTGAGCTTACATGGTGGAAGATGCTAGAAGCTTCTCAAGTTTTCCTGGGGTTCATCCTTCATGTCATCCCTGCATTGACTTTTCTCCAAAGACTTCAGTAACAGATACCATGAGGACCTGAGAGTTAAACACATGCTTCCTCCCTGCTCTGAAATCCCCTCCACAATCCAGCCTTCAGAGCACCTTCATGAAGTCAGACTCTCATTAGAGCAGGTTGGGGGATTGTTGATGACATATGAAAACTCTTTACTAATCCCTTTCTGAAAGGTTTCAGCAGCCGGGCAGAGCTGTGGTAGACATGGGTAGCCAAGCAGCCCTGAACTGTCCTGGACTCTCCTCTCCTTTCAGGTGAGGAAATGGCTTCTTGCGGGTTTCCATACCTTTTTATTCTTCTTGGAGATTGGATTCAGAAAGGCAGGCTCTTCAAGTTTTGTGTTTTACCTTAGAACATTTTAGCAAGTCGGTCATTGTCATAGGTTTAAAAAATCCTAGATTTAAAACTGTATATTATATACATGTATGATATACATATGTACATATATTTATTTATTTACAGGTGCACAAATTGTTAGTGTCCAAACTCGGAATGGCTTGTATACATGTAAGGCAAGTGTTCCATTCTACAGATGAAAAAATGATTTAACCATAGCATAATTCCAGCCATTCTAGATGCTAGAATTCTAAGCTACCCATCTCCCATCCTGATCGACAAATGGCAGTATTGCTAATTATCTATCTTGGAAATTTCCGTGTCCAGATTTTAAGAGGCCAATTTCCTTGGTACACTTGTACTGCTTTTTGAGTGTTTCAATTTCCCTCCGATTACTTTGAGATTAGTAACAGGTACCATGCTTCAGGTCCCTTGACATTTGCCAGTGTTTTTGAAATAATATTCTGATGGTTGTAATTATAAAATGTCTCTGTGTCTATAGCATGATAGGAAATAGTTTTGCAATTAAATTATTTAGAAATTATATAAAATGATGGATTTTATCACAGCATTTTCTTATATACCTATTCACCTCTATAATGGGAAATATTTTGGAAACTCCCTGGTGATACTTGGATTGGAAAGATAGAAACTCTGAAATAATGTGTATAATTCCATCTTGAAGGGGAATTAGTTTAGCTGGTAAGAAATGAAAGATGCATTAGGCCGAGTTCGTGGCCACAAAGTTCCTCACCAGGTGAAACAGTCCGTTTTGCATTGTTGGTGCTCTGCTCCCCTGGCTGTGCCTTTGCCAGGTGTGTGTTACCGTGCTTCCAGGGTTTGGAAGCAAACAGGGAAGCTCCGGCAATGCAAAGCATTCTCACCGTATTAAAGTCTGTGTACTGACAGGCTGTGCCAGCCCTGTTGCTGCGCAGGTTTGCCGTCTGCAGGCAGCCCCACAGATGGGAACCCCAACTGTCTTTCGTTGTGGTGCACATGCCACAGACTGCAAAAGGTCTGTCACCTACGTGGATTTTGAAAGGACTTCAATTGGCCCCTTTGACTGTGTCCTGTAGGAAATTAGGCTTGCTTTATTAGACAGCTGCGATACATGATATTTCAAAGTCACTATTTGTACTCGGAGGAAAATGACGTGAGGCGGGTCAGTTTACAAACACGTCCTTCGTGGACAGTCTCCAGTGTGAGAGTGAGGTCGCAGTGAGCTTCAAAGAAGACTTGACTTTTCATTCAGATATGTTCTGTGACTTTCATATAGATCTAAAACGTGGCTATAAAGCATTTAAAATACCTATTTGAATTGTCTTATACTTTAAATTGTAATAACTTAGCATGATATAAAATATAATTTGTAGCATTGTAAATCATAATTTAATATTATAAATATAAAATATGATAGTTTAATATAAATAAAATACAATTTATAAATATTCAAAACTCCAGGATTCAGGGATACACAGTGTTTGATCCTGTTATCAAGGGGGTAAAGTTTTAATATCGAGATAAACAGATTTTTCTTCATGTCACATGTATTTTACACATGTAATTTGCATGTAATCATTGCCGTTATCCCTACAATATGTTTTGGGAGCTGGTTTTAGGGTACTTCATACATAGTATATATCTTGTGAGTTAATCTAAGGAGCATTGTCATGCCTGACTGTGTTTCTGCAGCTGCTTGAAGGAGAATGACTACCTTTAAGCTCTGAAAGTAATGTTGCTGCCTGTTTAAAAAGAGTTCACTTGTCCAAAGGGTTTTATTTCAAATTTTACAGAGCAATAAAATATTCTGTGGACAGGATCTTGAAGAAGAAAACTAACTAGTTGCAGTTTTAAACCTGAGAATGTCTGTTTTCTTCATGAAAGCAATACAGTTAGCAGGCAGATCGCTTAGAATAAGACAGGGAGGGGAAGGAGGGATTGGAAGAGAGGCAGGGAGGAGGCAGGTAGAACCATGTACAAAGTTAATTGACCTTTTCCATGTTAGGAAGTAGTTTTCAGGGCAAGCAGTGTCCTTGCCTGCCCTCTGCTTTCATTTTAGATGTTACGTGTGTATCTGATCATTTAAACTCCAAGCAATTGTTTGAAATG